AAAAAACTTCAGTTCTGTTCAACTGAGACATGCTCTGATTGTGTACAAATGAGATAAGAATTTACAGTGATTATTTGGATCCATGTTAAAGCTTAAAGACTTCAAAATTTGTTTTTTGATAAGAGAAGTTTTGATAGATAGATTAAATGTTTGATTTAAGAAATAATAATTGCTACCATAATGCTCCAGGCAACATTGTCTTACATACTTTAAAGATATTTTCAGTGATACAACAACCTGACACCTAAGACTCCCAGGACACTTCCCAGCTGCTACTCGGTGAGGTGGTTGGGCAGATGCTCGTGTATCTACCTAACATAGCAGATGCTCAGCATGTAGAACTTAGTTAAAAGCCTAACTGCTGTAGGTGTCTGAAGGAATTCGAGACTCACACTTAAACAGTGGTCATGTATTTTCAGTCCTGTTGGAGAGAGAGGAGTCAGGAAATGCAGAGCAGTAAGCTCTGTGGCTGAAAATGGGCTTCACGGTTCTGCCCAACTACCTGTCCACACATCCGGCAGCAGTTCTTAGGGGCGTTTGTCTCTTGATATGTTTTGAATATTCACAGATATTACAAATGAGTTTGCTTCTGTAATTTTAGAGCAATTTTTTTTTTCTTTGAAAGTTGTCTATTCGGTTGTCTGTGTAAAAAGAATTGAGTGAGGTGTTTTATGTTTTAGGTTAAAAATCTGTAAGAGCCTGATTTTAGAATTCACCAGCTCCTCAGAAGTTTGGCGAAATATGGTATGTTTCTGTTTTATTTTTTGAAAGTCAAAATTGCATGAATATCTTAATGTCTTGATTAGAATAGTGATGGATGTATTCAGCAGATTTGGATGACTGCCATTTTTAAAGGATTATGCTGCTAGGTGCTAAATCACTATGCTGCCAGGTAGACTGTGTGAGGGCTCCAAGTGGGATTCAGAAAGAAATTGAGAACAGGTTAGTGTGCAATGAGAGGTAAAATAATTGCATAAGAAGACTGAGGGGGTGAGTTTGGCTGTTAGGCTATGAGTTAATAACAGCTTCCATTTATTGGGCTTTTTCTGTGTGCCAGACACTGTTTTGGACAAAATATATGTTTGTTCGTCCTCATGACAGACCTCTGAAATAGGTACTACTGTTACCTTAGTTCTATATATTGGGAAACGGGCTTGGAGAGGTTAAGAAACTTGCCCAAGATTTTCCATTGAGTAAGGGACCAAACAAGGCCTTGTATCCAGACTGACTCTGGGAGCTGTTTGCTCTTTTGAGCACTGGGCAATGAAAAAGGAAGTCTAAAAGAGAAAACTTGCCTCAATATTTTTCAGAGAACATGTAGCTCTTTAATGAATTAATTCATCTCAGTTAATCAATTAAAAGGTATTTTGACTTTTTCGTTTTTATGTTTTACAGGTTGGAAAGTTAGACTTGGATCTTTTAAATCCACATACACTATTAGTCTTATGAAGACCCCAGAGGAAATACTATTCGTTTCAGGGGGCACATTACCTCTTTTCCAAATGACCTCAAGAATCTTCTAGTTGTTATTAGGAAGCTTGTAACATGATCAGAAAATTTAGGAAATTTGACATCTTCCAGGGATTATAAATCCCATGTATTTAGGCATACCTCAGAGTGTTTGAGGTTCAGTTCTAGACTGCTGCAGTATGGCCAATAAAGCTGATCGTGTGAAGTCTCTGGCTTTCCAGTACCTACGAAAGTCACACTGACAGAAGCTTACTACAGTCTATTAAGTGTGCTGTAACATTATGTCTAAAAAATAGTGTATACACCTTAATTAAAAAATACTTTGTTGATTAAAAAAAAGTGCTAAACATCTTCTGAGCCTTCAGCAAGTTGTTATAGTAATATCAAAAGTTACTGATCATAAATCATTGTGACAAACATAATAATGAGGAAAAAATGTGAAATATTGTAAGAATTAACCGAAATGTGACACAGAGACATGAAGTGAGCAAATGCTGTTGGAAAGATGGCACCTGTAGACTTGCTAGAGGCAGGCTGCCACAAACCTTTAGTTTGTCAGAGATGGCACACATTATTTGTGAAGTGCAATAAAATGAACTATGTCTGTATTGGAGTCCCCAGAAGTTACTTATGTATTCTTTGGCCAACTCTTACCCTTATCTGAATTTGAAGCCCAAGTTCATAGGCTGCAGAGTTATGGGTTCAAGCATTGATGTTTCATCCCTTAGTATTCTCAGATAGCTTCCTGTTTTCTAAATGTCAAGGGTCTTTTGTTTCTGTCTCCTAATTTTTTCATCTTTCCTTAGATCACTTTTCAGGTTTGGCCTGGATATATAGTTTGGTAGGGAAATCATCAGGAGGAAAAAGTAGTTGCAGGACATGAACTCTTGATTCTGGGATATTCCCGATGTGTATCTTTGCCAGAATTGCAGTGTGATTAGGATGCCTGATAAATCGTGAACCATGATAATCAGGACAGTTCAGCTAAGGCCAAGTCAGGGGATCAGAAGATACTAGGTTGAGGGAGAAAAAAATGATTTTGTATTTTGCCATTCTCTGTCATGAAATTGAATGTTAGTGGATTTATGACTGATAAGGAGAATATAATATTCATGAAATACCCAAGGAGTTTTTGCTAATGTTAGCTTATCCTATGGAATAAGTAGGAATAGACTTGATGTGTGTGTGTGTATGTTTGTGTGTAACTATTTCATTAAGTACTTGACTACCGGGAAAGTCTATTACTGTTAGTCCCATTTAAACTACTGTGGATTCTCGATTTATACTTTAAATCTTTGCTTACTTACATATATTTAAATCATGAGGCTCTATAGCAAAACTAAACAAAATCACAAAATACTAATTCTGGTTATGAAGTCAGTATACCTAGGTTTTAGTCCTAGTCCTGGCTTCAACACTAATACTAAAATCTTGGGCAAGTCAATTAATCACTCTAAGGCTGCTTCGTTTTTCTGTTTCTTAACATTCTTTTCTGTCGTACCTACTCAGTATAGGTTAGAGCTAAAGTTGTCTTGAGATTTAAGATACTGTTGACCAAAGTGCTTTTGTAAACTGTGACACTTCATAAAAGCACAAGATTATTGTCATGTTTTCTCAAGTGAAGAAATAATTTAAGGAAAAAATGCTGGAAAATAGTCCTTGAAAGCATTTCTATAATTATTCTTCTGATGAATGTTGCATTGGCACCTAATTCAAACCTGTGAAGATTTTTTTTTTGAACAATGAATTGAGTTTATAAAGTGTTCTAACTAAAGATTTGTTTAATTTGTTAGAGTTATTAAACCTACGCTCAGATCAAGTTAGCAGCTAGACTGGTGTGACAACCTGTTTTTAATCAGTGACTCAAAGCTGTGATCACCCTGATGTCACCGAATGGCCACAGCTTGTAAAAGGTAATTTTGAATGTTATTTTACAGCCTTTAAAAGGCTGCCATTGTAAAATACATGCTGTTAAAAAAAAAAAAGGAAGAAAATGTATAGTTGGCAGGGATACTGACTACTACGAATAGTGACCTGCTTCTCCATTTAATCTCCTTCCTAAAATACTTTGTGCCTTTTCCCCAGACCTGTCTGTATGAATAAATAGGAAAGTATTTCTAAAAAATTCCAAGTTTTTAAATGTTTTATTATGAAGATTAAAAAAAAAACTATGAAAAAAGTCTTAATATACATTTTAAAGTATGCTTTTCATGTGCTGAGAGTTTTAATAACACTGGTATACTGTTCTGTCCCAGAGAGTTACAGTGGAAGTTAAAGGAGGGGCTTGCAGTCCAGAGAAGCTGCACCTCATAAAAATCTCTCTTCTGATTTGTTTTTCTGACAAACTTTGGGTTAACCTAAGTCAGTACTCTCTGGGTTTTTTTCATTTGTGTCGTGTCCTCATTTTGGTAAAATTATAACTGACTCAATGGATGTGAGCTTGAGCAAACTCCAGGAGATGATGGACAGGGAAACGTGGTGCTGCATGCAGTCCATGGGGTTGCAAAGAGTTGGACACGACTGAGCAGCTGAACAACCAGATCCTTACTTCCCAGGATTTGACAGTAAAGAGTAAAGACTCTCCAGGGGCTAAATTAAAGCTTGGAAACTGTTGTTAGATCTTAGGTATTTTATTTATTCTTTTATTTTTTGGAGTTTTGGAATGTCTCTCCCCCCTCCCCAAGGTTTAAACTTATTTTGTGTTTGGGTGTAGCCAGTTAACAACGTGGTGGTAGTTCCAGGTGAACAGCAAAAGGACATAGCCGTACACACACATATATCTGTTCTCCCCCCAGATATTATGTACTTTATAATTTGGACTGTTTGGATCCTAACTTTAGGATACTCGTTGGTAAATTATTTAGAATATTACAGACAGAATACAGTAAGCAGAATGACTAGAAATTTATACAGGCAGATACTATTGCTTATTACTCACTATAAGATAAAAAGTGCTTCTTGTAGTTCAGTGTATATTCATAACCTTTTTCTTGATTAAAAAAGTTTCCTTTTTGAGTGAAAAACCAATGCACTATGTTTAAGAGTCTTAGGGTAGATTGTTTTAAGGTAATCTTCAGTTTTTATTATTCTTTTTTTTCTTCTTGAATTGATTTAAATTACTTGGTTTGACTTTAAAGTGGTTTTGGTAGTTACATTAATATATGTTAATATTAAATGATGCTTATGTTTACATATTCTGTTTAGGGAACAGACTTTGAAAATTAGAATGTAGATACCATTTGATGTATTTAATCTCTGTTCCATTTCAGAATCTCAAAACTTTACAATTACAAATTGTACTTCTGAGACTTGGATTTGTTTTTCTTCTTGCTTGCCTCTTACCTTTTTGCAGTAGTAGTTTAATTTCCCTGTCAATGTGTCCTCATTTTTCCCCCCTCTTTCCCTGTTAATTTTGAAAATTTTGCCGCCTACGTGTTTAAAAGCTTCTAATCTGCCTCTCTTCCCTTAGAGCCAGCAGGTTTATTTTTTGTTTTGCAAGCCTGCTCTGCCTCCTTACAGTATGACATCTGATGCTGGAGGGTCGCACTTTCAAAAATGAGTCAGCTGGTACATGGGGTTATCATCACTTTTTAGCTCTTCTGTCTGAGAGATACAAGTTTGGAAGCAATCTTGGGGTACTTACCCACAAGGCTGGTGGAAACCAGGTGTGTCACAAAGGTGATTTGCTTGCTCCCTGGGGGAGAGGGTGGAGTGAAATTTTTGGATTTGTGTCACTGCCAAGTCACTGCCACCTCCAGCATGCCCCAGGTTTTAGTTCTAATATCATTTTGTGCAAAATTGAAAATGTGAATATACTGCAGAGAAGATCTAAAATAAATACTTGAGCTGCTCTTACATTTTTTTGCATTCTTTCCCTTGGACCCCTGCAATGAGGGATAATTTTGAAAGTGATAAAGAAGTGAGTTTTTTAAAACTGAGAAACGGGAAACATTTTTTTCTTTTCTGGTGGCTCCAAGTTTAAGATTCTTTGATTAAAAGTTGCTTGGAATTTGAAGTCTCAAGTCAGTGATAAATTTACAAATCAGGTCCTTGTAATATCAGTTTGAAAATTTAGCTTTTGACCTCTAAAAAATGTTTTACCTATTCTGTGAATTGAAAGTGTTAGAAATCAGTATTATGTTGATTCACCTTAATATATGTTGACTGATGCTGGTTATAAAAGTGAATAGAGTAATAGGAATTTGTTTTTTTTAACATGTTGGGTGGGGTAGGCAGCATTGGTTCATGCCCCAGAATGAAAATAAAAGACTTCTTACTGTCTTAGAATTTTGAATATTTCTACTTAAAATAGCAGCAGTATATTGAAAAAGTAGAAGAAAACTGGAAACTGTTTATAACTGAAGTCAATTCATAGTTATCCAAAGCAGGGTTTTTAATACCCTAGAATACAGTTGACAGGTATACATGCTGCCAGTGTATTTTCAGGGACAGCTACTTTTGTTGAAATAAAGTAATCATGATCAGAATGGTAAATCAGACTTTAGTGTCTCAAAATTTATGAGGCTATTAGGTTTAAATTTGTATTATCTACAGCAGAGATTGGCAGACTTTTTTTTAAAGGGACAGGTAATAAATATTTTAGGCTTTGTGGGCCACCTGTCTGTAAGTTTCTCAGCTCTACTCTTGTAGTATAAAAGTAGCCATAGACAGTATGTAAATGAATGAGCATGCCTCTGTACCAGAACAAGTCTACAAAAATAGGCGGCTGACCCAGGCCTTAGTTTGCCATCCCAGGCAGTAGTTTGCTGATACTTTATCTAAAGTTTGGGACCACGAATACTAGTGAATACCTTTGGTATTGTGAATAACTGATACTTGGCTATAGATGGCTTCATAGTTGTATGTTTTTATTATAAATATTTGACTTTGTAAATAATTATGATTTGTTACATTGGTTTGTACGTTGGTATCTAAATAGTGTTTAGTTTCCTTTCCTTAAGAAAATGAACTGAGTTTTTATTAGTCTAGCCCTTACGATAAATGAATGTTGTATGGCAATCTGATCTGATCACTTTTTTCTCATGTTAAACTTTTAAAATTGTTAACCCATTAAATCTTGTTTTCAAATTTGTCTTCCAAAATAAAATGTTTGCTCCTTTTCTGAATATGGTATATTTTGCTTAACTTTTCTCAATTGCATTTTACAGATCATCAGGAGAACCTCAATCTGACGACATTGAAGCTAGCCGAATGTAAGTGTAACTTGGTTGAGGCTGTGGTGTCTTAAGTTGCTCTAGATTGCTTTAAATGGTGTCACGTTTTTTGAAAACAATTTCCAGTAAAAGGGAGTAATGCTTTAGAAAGTAAATTGGAAGATAGGAATACACATGTCTAATTTTCCCTACCAAATAAATAGCTCTAAATCATGGTAACATATTACTAGATTTCTACTTCTAGACAGATAATTGCATACCCCTGGATTCTTACATATTTTTGCTCCTCTAGAAGTTTTAGTCTGTTCAGTGTGAAAGACCTGGAAGCACATCATTTCATTCATGGTGGTAGAAGGATCCCAGGATGGAACATGAACGTAAAGAAGTACCAGTGTACTCAGGTACCTTGATGCAATAGGGACCTAATCCACATGGCAGAAAACAGGGGTGATCAGGGAAGGCTAAGTTAAGTCTTGAAGAGTGACTGGGAGTTAGCTAGCACATTCTAGGCAGAAGCAGGAGCACTTACAGAGCCATATAGTAAATGTAGGAAACAGTAGGCAGTTGAGGATTTTTAGATTATAGACTAACTGAAAGGTGGGAAATTAAAGGAGATGAGACTGGATAAAAAGGACTAGGTGCTTGCATGCTATGTGAACGGCCTTGGCCTATCTCTCGTAGGTATTTGGGAGTCAGTAAAAAATTTGCTAAGTAGGGTAACCTTGTTAGATATATATATTTTTAGTAACTTTGCTGGCAAGGAAACAGGATTGAAGAGAAATCATATGGTAGGATGACCAAGTTTTAGTCAATGAAAGCCTAAATAAGGGCAGTAGTATATTAGGAATTCAAGATAAAGTTTTCTGGTTTAAAGAAAAGTCTTTAGAAAGTGAAGTAGGTAAGACTTCAGTGATTAGTTGTGATAATATAAGAAGTTTAAAATAAAAGTTTAAAATAACTAGAGATGGTGATTATTGAATCAGGGCTTTAAAGTAGTAAGGGTTGGAGTGAAGAATATAGGTATAGGGATTTCTCTTGAATAATAGCAAAGACCCTTATGAAACTAGAAGAGGAAGGTGAGGATGAATATGTGATGTTAAATGTATTGGTAGTTAAGAATGGGGAAGTCAAAGCCATTGTGCCTAAACTCAATTTTCTTAGTAAATTAGGTCAGCTACACCACTGTGCGCTTCTGGAAGAAGTGGTTTCATTGTTGATTAAGCTTGGGACATACAGACTTAAACAGCAGATTTTTTTCCTGAAAATTGTGAAAAATCCTTTAAAATGATACACATTGTGCATCTCCAAGAAGGAATTATAAAATGTACTTTTCAAACATATGTGTCCATGTAACTTAAAATTTTTGTGTGTGGTAAAATACACATTACAAAATGTTCAATTTAGTGGTAATTAGTTACATCTATATTGTTGTGCAATGATTGCCACCATCATCTCTGTAGCTCTCTTCATCTTGCAAAACTGAAACTGTTGTCAGTTTAAAAAAAATCACTCCCCATTCCACTCTTCTCCTCAGACCCTGGCAATCACCATTCTACTTTGATTTGGACAACGATACCTCATATACTCTGAGTGCCCACAGTATTTGTCTTTTTGTGATGGGCTTATTTTACTTACATTGCATGATATCAAGGTTCATCCATGTTGTAATGTATGTCAGAATTTTCTTCCCTTTTAGGAACTGAATAATCTGTTGTATGTATATAACATTTCGTTTATCCATTTTTCTGCTGATGGACACTGGTTGCTTTTGTTTTAGCTATTGCGAATAATGCTGCAATATATGAATACCTCTTCGAGACACTGCTTTTATTTCTTTGGGTATATGCCCAGAAGTCAGATTGCTGGATCATATGATAGTCCTATTTTTAATTTTTTGCATAAGAAACCTTCATACTGTTTTCTAGAGAGGCTGTACCACTTTAACATTTTGACCACATAATGCACAAAGGTTATAATTCCATACATTCTCAACGTTTGTAATTACTTGGGTTTTTTTTTTTCCTTCACTGTAAGCCATCCTCATAGGAGTGCGGGTATATCTCTTTATAGTTTTTTGACCATGTAACTTTTTAAGAAACATTTTAAAGTAGTTTTTGTGGAACTTAGAGTTTGGTTAGGGGATTTGAAAAGACTGAAAACTTGGAAAGTTCTTGGGTAAAATGGGTGAAGTGGATCAGATATTGAGAGTCTCATGCTAACAGAGTACCCAGCTAAGATTAACTTATCCATACTTGCAGTTTGACGACTTTTCTGTAATAGCTAGAAGAAGATGCATGGTATTTCACCACTGACTGTTAGAGCAGATGGGAGTGGCATGTGTGTAGAGTGTTAACATTGGAGTAGTTGAATTTACATGTCATTGGTGATGACCACCATTGGAAAGGTTGTGGTGCCAGATGAAGATGTTGGGTTGGTTACAAAATGCCTGATGGGTCAAAAAGATAGTTTTAGTTTAAGTGAAACTGTTACAAGCATAGATGATGATGATCAGAGCCGAAGGTAGTGATTGGCTGAAACTGAGAGGAGATGAGGGACCCTCAAGTTAAGAAAGTCAAGTATTTTGGGGGCTCGAGGGTTCGGATAGATCATGCATACAGGCATTGAAGTCACAATGCCAGTGATATAAATGGGGCAAAATAGAGGCTTTAGTATATGGATGCAATTTACCAGAAAGTTTCTAAGTGTAAGTTGTGTTTGTATTGTACTTTTTTTTTTTTAACAGGGGATGGGCATTATTTTTAATAACAATGAATAAGAAGGATATTTGAGTTGTCTTTGGAAACCTCACTTAAAAGAATTATAAGAAATGCATTTGGGGGCGTTAGGTTTCAGTGAAAGCTAAGAGATTGAGAAAACATATAAAGCAATTGAAGATATCATGAATGTATTTCTGGAGATCTTGATGGAAGAGGTTAGATGGATGCATCAAGAGTAAAGAATGAAAAGGAAAGATGAGGCTTGTGTTTTGTAGTATGGCAAGAATGTGAGGTGTGATAGGATGTTTATCGTGAGGTTCCAGGTGAGACTCTGCTGTTAAGCTCTGGTTGAGTTTAGCAAGGTACCATGCTGTTGCCCATTGTAAGGTGGAGTAACTGGAAATTAGATCTACCACGGTGTTTGGACAAAGATTTCTAAGCTTCTGGCCGTAACTGTGAGACTGTAACTCTAAGTTTTCATGTCTGCCACAGCTTCTCAGATTCCTGTGGCTGTGGAAACCGTAACTAGACAGTGGTGTAGTATGGCTTCTTCTGCCTTAAGCTTTTGGGTCTTGATTTACAAAAGAGGTGATGAAGCATTCTTGTTTCTAGCTAAGAATTAACTAGTGTGTTTTATTAATGGCAACATCTTATATTTATTAAAACATGATTTTTTTTTTTACCACTTTGAGATATATTTGGATTTGATATCCTTTAGGGAACACCTTGAGTACATTTTAAATAATTAAATAAAATTAAAGAATATGTGTGTTTTTAGAAATTCTTAGTGTCACACATTTCCTAGAGCACAGAAAAACAAAGTTTTTAACAGCTACATGCTAATTTATAGTTTAGCCTCGAAATAGACCTGACACAATAACCCAGATCTTTTTATTCAATTATATAATATACTTGGATTTTGTTTAAATTCATACATACCATGTAGTAGTCTTTTTTCATATACTAATTTAGACTCTTTAGTTTTCTTAATGATTTCAAAGCAATTCTAGTAACTTCAGATTTCTTGTCTTTGGTAGTTACTCCACAATGTTATAACACTTCAGCTATGTTTTTAGGTATATAATTAAGACTGTAAAGGGAACCAAGGGTAAGTGTATCAAGTGATTTATGGTTCAGTATTTGGAAATCCTATTTTTTTTCTAAATATTGTCATGACCAAGGTCTTAGTCCTCAGGCCATAGTCCTCAGGCCATAATTATCTATTCTCTATAGATAAGAACTTCATAGGGCTTCCCTGGTAGCTCAACTGGTAAAGAATCCACCTGCATGCCGGAGACCCTGGTTTGATTTCCTGGGGCAGGAAGTTCCCCTGGAAAAGGGATTGGCTACCCACTCCAGTATTCTTCAACTTCCCTACGGGCTCAGACAGTAAAGAGTCTGCCTGTAATGCAGGAGACCTGGGTTGGGAAGTTCCCCTGGAGGAGGGCATGACAACCCACTCCAGTATTCTTGCCTGGAGAATCCCATGGACAGAGGACCCTGGTGGGCTACAGTCTATGGGGTCACAAAGAGTCGGACATGACGGAGCAACTCAGCACATAGTAAGTGCATCAACTATAATGTAAATGGAAATAGCTAATTGTTACTGGATCAAAAATAGAAGTTATTAAACCCTGTTACTTACGCTCAAAACCTTTCAAAGGTTTCTCTCTCAGAGTAAAGTCCAAGGATCTACAAGGCTCTATGTGTGCTTCCTTTCACTTTTGTGACCTTTGTATTTTCTTTTGCCCATTTTTATCCTCACTTGCTTTAATTTATGCCCTTGCCCTTAATGATTTGGTGTTCTTAAGATGTGTGCCTTGTTTTCTGTGATCCTTCTCTCTGATAACCACATGGCTTCCTTTCTCATTTGCTTAGAGCTCTCAAATGATCCTTATCAGAGAGACCTTCCTTGACCAACTTTTTTCAGAGTGGTCATGTCCTGTCTTCCCTATTGCTTTTCCCATGCTGTGTTTATCTTTATGGGATTTAATGTCGTTTGACTGGTTTCATATTGATTTCTCTGTTGTCTGGCTCATTTAATACCGACATGGAAGTCTAATGTTCTTTAAATGTGTTATGGTGTGTTTTTTGGCCCAGAATGTCATCTGTTCCATGTGAGTTTGAGAAGAACGTAATCTGCTGTTGTTGGATGAAATAGTCCAGAGATGTCAGTTGTATCCAGTTGATTGATGGTGCTCTTGAGTCCAACTGTATCCTTAATGATTTTCTGCCTGCTCCATCTGCCCATTCCTGATAGAGAGGTATTGAAGTCTCTGACTATAGTAGTGGATTGCTCTAGTTTTCCTTGTAGTTCTGTCA